ATAGACTCATATCCAAAAAAAAAAAAAAAAAAAAAAAAAAAAAAATTAAAAATTAAAAAAAAAAAAAAGAATAATAAAACTGCAAAGTATTTAACTTTATATTTTTAACAATGATTTAAAATATTTAATTTACTTAATGGAAACTCCTTATTTTGATATTTTTAAAATCCTTATGCTTTAAAATTCGAATGAAAGTTCAACGTTATAAAAAAAAATTCAAATGAAAACCAACAAAGTCATAAACGAAATGTACATAATTAATCAAATAAAAAAAATAATGTACTGCATCGAAGATTGTAATTATAGTTTAATAAATGTTTTATGAAATATTAATCTCAATTCTTACTGAGCTGATGTAAAAAATTCCCTTGCTCACCCTTTGCTTCTATACCATCTTACCAAGTTTGAGAGTGGAGGGTCAAATACATGTACGTACATGTGTACATTGTGTCCAGAACGATATCAAAACTAACATTTCTTTGACATTGATCTTTGGCCTTATTTTTTTTTCAATGAATATGCCTATTTCTCTGCATGGACTTTTTTTTTACCCTGTAGTAATTAAGAGACTAAATATTCAAATGATACTCTTCAACAAGTGTCAACAACATTTGAAAATACCTTAACAAATTTTGAACTTGACCTTTGACCTTCAAATGAAATGGCTTGTATCCCTGGTTTTTGGCAAGTTTGAACTGGCCGGTCAAACAGTACCAGTGTATGTACTCAATATATTTTTAGAGGCTCAAGGACAGACGCACTCACATACAGCGACTTGCTCCTTGTTTATCCCATTATGATATTGTTGTGAGGGAGTAAAATTCAAATTGTCCTGTACAAGAATTGCTGAAAAAGACTCCACGGATTTCAATCATTCATAAGGCTAAGTAATAAAATTCATAGGCTAAGGCCAAAATAAAAAATACCTTTGTTTCCCCAAACGCGACCGACCCGATTAAATCACGCCGACTGAAAAGTTTTTAAAATAAGATTATTCAAATAATTTTTTTTAATGATTATCAATTTTTATAAAAATACAATTTCATCAAAATCCTATTTTATCAGAACGGCCGATATTGTTTTACTGTGATTTTCAAGCGTTTGCTGGAAACAAAATGGTAGGGATGTGCGATTTTATCGGTATACCGTTATATCGCGATTTTTTATTGCGTGATACGTATCGTGATACGGAGACCGGTACCGGTATTTGGTACATAATTATAAAGTCCGGAAATTATTCATTTATTTGTTCAAACTATTGAATGACAATTACAGGGAATGTAAAAAATGTTGAAAACAGTTAAAGAACGGCATCCAAATATGTTTACATTAAATAAATAAAAATATTAAAAAGTAAAGTTATGTTTTTAGAGCATATTTTAAAGAAATATTATGGAAATTCTTTTGAAATTGTAGAAAATATTGTGTGTAAAAAAAAATATCAAGATTTATCGTGATATTTTTGGGAAAAAATCGTGATATATCACGATACGAAATTTTTGCCGATACCCATTCCTACAAAATGGTGCCCATAATATGTGGTCATAGAGGAATACTTTATTTGCTGTGTTATAAAACAAAACAACGGCGACGTATCAACCTTATGCCTTTAGCTTATTCGAATCCTTCACGCTTGAAAATTTCGTTAATAAAATATACCATAACTAATTAAGAGTGTTTCGATGGTATTTGCAATCCTGTCTTTTGAAATTAAAGTACTTAATCAGTACATGACAAGGCCCACCTCATGAGCAGACGAGGGGGCCTACCTTGTGAATACATCAATCAATTTCACTGCATTTTATTTGAGTTTTTATCTAATAAACAGTTCATCTAAGTTCCATAGTCCTGAGTTGTAAATATGTCTGCATATTTCATTCTCATGAATATAATTCAGACGTCCTTTCTTCATGCCATTTATTCATGGGTTAAACTTTGTGACTATGACATTGTGTATGGCATATTATTTTTAAACATGATTTGGTTCAATTAAATACTGAAAAAGTACATTGGATTAAGCACTGGAAGCTCATAGTAGATTTGAAAAATACTTGAATGTCCGGTCTTTGCGTATCTGAGAATCTTGTCTTTTTAAATATTCGATTTCAATAAATTTACACTGGCGTGAGATATTGTACAAGTTCAATTGAATAATACCGGTGAATTTAACTTAAATTTAGCTTTTCAACGGCATTTGTATGATATTCTGTTTACAAATAGCTTTCTTTTGTACTGTTCTTATTCATAATGACATGATTCCATTAAATTTCAGAAGGTATTTTCAAAGCTGTCAGAAAAAAAAAAAAATTTTCCTACCTACCTACCTACCCAACTCGAGATTTTAGAGTCGGGTTAGGGGAAACAAAGATACATGTATTTAATGATGGCCTAAATAATATAGACCAGGAATCTCATGCAACGAATTTATAATCAATAAAATCAGAAGAGACGACAAATGCGTGACTGTGTGTTTTCATATTAACAAGATGTACGTGTGATGAACATAATTACATCAGTGAAAGAATTTAAAAAAAAAACAACATTTTTTTAATAATGTCATGTAAAAAAAACATTCATGAAAAATTAGGTTTGACGTAAATTTCAAATCTTCAAGGCTGGCGGAAGTGAAAAGATTAGTGCGTCCGCACCCCTTTGTAAAAAGAAAAAGTTTAACGTAATGCTGTTAGATTTTAAGTTCAACTTTCATTCCTAGGACTGAACATTCCTCTGACTACATTAATTGAGCTTGTTTTTTGCCAAATATCACAAGACAGATTTAGTTCCAAACAATGTCATTTATTATTAAAGACATCATATAATATTGTACATAAAACTGAATAAAAAAGACTGGGAACATTACATCACAATTCCTGAGGAAAAAATTGTAAAACAATTATGCAAAAAATGGGCTCCCAGTATGTGACTATTACATAACATACATGTATATAAATTGGCAAAATTGGTGGCCTCCAAAATATGGCCAAAAAAGGAACATTAAGGCTTTATGCATTTCCTTGCGCCACCTGTTTAAAGATTTTGTTTATTTAGTAACAGTAAGACGCATTGACTTCTAGAATGCACCAGAACCTACCAAGTCTGTGCCCATTTGTAACAACTACAACAACAAGAACAGCCTAAAAAAAAAAATCTGGATTACAATGTGCTGGGGGGATTACCATTTCCAGACCCTCCCGCACCCTCCTCCAGAAACCTAATTGCGGACCTGACATTTTTAAACAGATTTTCTTTTCTTTTGAATATTGTACTCCTCCTCAGGTATCTAAATCATCGTATTGACCTCGAAATTAGCAATAATTGTATAGTTTTTAACGTAACACTGTCTAATTAAACTCATCTTAAGCGACGATTCTGAAAGAAGTTTCGAAGCGTTTTTTTTTTCAGGAGTTTTACTTGCCTTACAATTTTTAAGTACGCTTGCGGCACAAACCATTGGTATTGATTGTGTAACATGACTGAGTATTTCTTTCCGATTGATTGATTGATTGCATGTTGTTTTACGTCCCGTTCGAGAATTTTTCACTCATATAGAGACGTCCCCATATACCGGTGAAGGGCTTCAAATTTAGATCTTTACTCGGCACTTAGGGTCATTGACCAGTGCGGGTTCTTTATCGTGCCAATGCCTACCGTGACACGGGGCCTCGGTTTTTAAGGTCTCATCCGAAGGACCCGCAACTTTCACTTCAAAATGCCGAGCGCTTGGCCAAGGAACAGTTGCTACCTGCTTTTTTTATCGACTTAGGTCAGTCGCGGCCGTGATTCGAACACACGACCTTCCGATCACGAAGCGAGGGCTCTACCAACTAAGCTACCGTGACGGTATAGTTCTTTCCGAAATGTACAATTCAAACAAATAATTGAATCATACAATTTGAGCATCAACAGAATTAAATGTATTTTTCCGAATGAAATAGATACTGACTGTTTTGCCTTTACAATTGTATAAATTATTAATTGAAATTTCAATTTCTTAAACAGATTTTGATTTAATTTATGCAAGCCATTTGTTTCATCAATTAATCTGATCTATCAGTGGTGACCTTAAAGAAGCTCAAATAATATAGGTACTGAATTAATTATTTTGATTAATTTTATTTACATGTAGATTATACATGGACATGTACTTAAGAATATATTTTATTTAAATGCATAATGACCATCATATTCATTACAGACAATCACGTAAAGTGCAAGTGTTATTTTCGAATTGTTAATTGGAATAAATAATAATTTAATTATTAAGTCTGTACTAAAATTGAATTGAATATTTTTGTACAGTATGGATTTGGAAGGAAACCTTGCGGAGCGCGCCCTCTGGTGAGAGATTGCAATTCAGTATCTTCCTATCTTATAAATTGTTAAACGTTTATTTGTTGAAAGATAAAACAAAGAGCAGGAATGGAATGTTCAAACAAATATCTTGTTCTAACATCGTGTCTTCGTTGTCATCTACATGAAGTTGAAGTTGAACTTGTAAACATTTCTTAACACATACTAAATTGTGCGGGGGATTTTTTATAACCTGATAAGGAAATGGTTAAATCTCAAGCTTCGGCGTTGCCACCCAGCAGGACTGAAAAGTGCTAAGATCTCTTCAAGTCATTCGATAATTTAAGCCATGTTTATGTGGAGATTATGCCTTCCTCTTTTGTTGTTCTTCTTCATTTCAAAGGTAAAAAAATGATATTTAAGAACTCATTTCATTATCCTCTTTAATAGTCTATGGACGAAAAATGTAACAACTGTTAAAATATGTATACATTTTTGACGATGTATTACAAAATCAAACCCAGAGACAATATGTACAGGTTCTAGAAAATTAGAAACTAGTAAAACAATCATGCACTTGTACTTCACCCGCATTTACCAAAAGTGCGGGAGATTTATCCGCACCCCACCCAACCCCCACCCGTCCTCCATCGTGTTATTTTCGGTAATACTAGTATCATTCTATTAAGCGTTATTATTTTTTTTTTTAGATAAAATGCAACGTAAATGTCTTTATTCATGTTGATCAAGTGGTTATACACAACATGACAGCAGCTATAGGAGGGTGTAAAGGTGACAACTGCGGGTTTCATATCAACCTCTGTATAAGGTAATGTATGTAAAAAGGCAAAATATGACAACAAGGAACATTCATAATAAATCACAATAATGGATTTATCTGTAATTTTTTTTTTTTTAATAATTTTGAGGATATAATATTAATTGAATTTATGGTTGACCATCCATGCTGGAAAATGATTATTTCAAGAAATTGAAGCTTTGATACATATATGGGAAATATGTGTTTATAAATTAAAATCATTAAGACACAAAATATTTGTGAACATTTCCAATCGAAATACCTTACTGCATGTAGTAAGGTAACTTTTAATTTTGTTGATATTCAAATCTCTTTATGAAAATGATGTTCTACTTTTAATATGCTAAGTGTTAAAAATATAAGGGTCGCCAACTTATATAGTTTATTTTCCTCTTCTCCAAGAGATCTAGATCTGAGGATTGTAATTTTGAGAATCACCAAAATATTTTGCCAAAAAGAAAAATATATCTGTGTACGTACAAAACATTTTTCGTTGCTGAAATATACGCAGTTACACTCCATGTATAATATGTGCATATATCTCTAATAAGCGTTTCGGTTTCTTGTAGAGGTTTAATTACAATACTGCAGTAAACGTTCTCATTAAAAGAATATTTAATTCCGCACGACAGAAAATAAGGATATTCATGCGATGTACGAAGTATAATATAATTAAATGTACTTTATTACGAGGGACGATCAGAAAATTCTGCAAGTATATATATATCAATAAAATAAAAAGAACAATATGTATCAAATGTAAACTAGTTTAATCTTTCAAAGTAATCTATTAAAGTCACACACTTTCGCAATCTGCATACCCATGCTTTAAAAGCCCCTAGGTAGTCTTCCCTTGGAATACTGTCTAAGCATTGACAAACAGCACTGCCAACTGCACTAGTACTGCGCGAAGTATAGCGGCGTCCAGATAACATTTTTTTAAGTCTAGGAAATAGAAAAAAAGTCACAGGGACTAAGGTCGGGAGAATATGGGGGATGGGGAAGCTGAACAACCTTTTAATCCTTCAAAAAACCCTGAAATATTTTACTCTTTATGAGCTTGAGCATTGTCATTAATGAACTTAATGTTCTTCAAACCTGACTTTGGTCTTTTCTTTTCATACACTTTTTAAATTTTTTTTCAGTACATTATTTTTTTGTAAAAATGTCAAGAGATACCTCGGCCAGACTCACCTTGCGGAGTTGAAATTGGCACAACTGGGCCACTAGAATTAAAGAAAATAAAATGCAAAATTTTCGTAGCACCCTGACTCCTTTTTGCAATGAGAGGACGCTCACTTTTCTTTTTAATCCACATCATATTGTTAATTTTTCTTTGCGGTTCAAAAAGGTATATCCAAGTTTCATCACCTATTAGCAGGTCAGCAAACTTTCTCCTGTCACAGTTTTTATATATTTTTAAAAGTTTTCTGGCAAATATTAAACGCGTTGACTTTAAATTTGTTCTGGTGTCAAGAGATGCGGTATCCATCATGCACATACTTGGTCAAAATTTCATGTACCTTTGCTGATGAGATCCCAACAACACTAGCGATATATTTTAAAGTATATCTGCCATCATGCTCTAAACCATTTTCTTAACTGCAGCCACGTTTCCATCAGTAACAGCTGTCTTTGGTCGCCCTGGTCCTGAGGAATCTTTAACGACCTCTACGCCATTCTTGAACTTTTTCAACCAGTGACAAACTGTGCTTAATGAAACGGCAGAATCTCCATAAATCTGACAAATTTCATTTAAAATAACTTTTGCGGGTATATCAAGAATGCCTCTCACTTTTATATAGGTCCTTATTTCACCCTTCACTTTAGATTTCACGGGAGAAAATGGTCAGTAAGTACGACTACCCCTTATTCTTTTGTATATATATTTTGAAACAGTTAATAAAACGATGAGAAATTTAGACAGATACAGGTAATGAATGTATCAACCCGTGCGTGACATTGATATTGGTCATCTACAAAGGAAACCTATGGAATAACATTACTTGCAGAATTTTCTGATAGTCCCTCGTATAGCATGTTTGAGAAATAAATAAATTAATGCTAGACTAGCTTATTTAGCACTGGAAAATGAAATAAAGCAAAAGATATTCCTGTTGTAAAGTATACCTAGTCAGACAAATAGACAGCCAGGAACTGCGGATCAAGCTTAAAATTATTTGTCGAGATGAACAATGCTAATCAAATCAAAAACAAACCAAAAATAACACATTCAAACAAAAATCAAGCAAACAAACAAAACACAAAGCTACGAGTTTTCTCTCTTAAAGGGGTAGCAGTCCCAACTGTGACGAGTCGGCAGGGGCTTGGATCAATATGTCTGGTCTTCAGTCCAGAGTCATTGGGGAGGATATCGGCGATAAAATGAACCCCCTACAAATGGATGCCAACCATACGGTACGATATTTTCTCAGGACAAAAAGGTCCATAATTAAACTTTCTTAACATCAGTACCCATGCCTTCGTCTAGTGATTTAAAAAGCTACTGAGTACAAGATGTATCTTTTTAAGTAATTCCTGTATATTTATTTTATCCTAGATGGGACCCTCCTCTGTTCTTAAAGTGTCTATTTATAACAACGATTCCTCTTCCCTCCTTCTGGAGCAGTCCATGAACGGGGCTGACCAATGGACGAACGGAAGTCAATACATACTGGCCTATGATCAGTACATGACATTCGACTTACACAACAGTATTTTAAGGTAGGTGACTTCCTAGTAAAGGTCAAGTAATTTAATTGAAAAGTGTATATTTCTGTTGATTTAACATATTAGATTTGAAATTAAGGATTTGTACCTCTCTTTTCTTTAATGCACTGAAATAATATATTAAGTATACATTAGTTTGAATAAGAATGTTAATTATACTTCTACATGTATCTCTGAGTGATTTATTCCTAAAATGAATTCTAGTATAACAAATATGACGCAAAAGATCTTACTTAAGGAGGTTGGATCCTGCCATCAAAAGTAATGAGAATTTTTTATCAAGTATATTTTTAGAATTTATACACATAGCTTTATTAAAAATCAAAACAAAAAATGGGGGTCAATGCGCTTCTTTTGGCGCTACAGAGCATTTAGTTTGACCTTTTTGCACTGTAAATACGTCTTACACAGAAATCAATTTTGAAAGTTTTTCCTTCAATATTTTTTGTTCAAATAAATTATGGTGAACAAACACAGTCTTATTTCATCTTAAATAGACACATTAAAATTTGTAACAACGAAGAAATTTTCGAATTACTCCGCATGTTCAATTATTTGACCTTTTTGCACTCAAACATTTTCATTTTTCTGGCATTAAAATTTAACAAGCAGAAAAATCATTTGAAAGTAATGACATTTTACAGAATTTAAGAAGAATGATTAAAAGTATCGTATATATTCAGAAAAGAGAATTAAAAGTGGGGGTCTGTGATGTTAATTTTTAGATATTACTAAAACAGTGTTAATTTTAAGCTTAAGGGTTTGGTTTTGTGTTCATCCAAGTGAAACTCGTACGAAATAAAAATCTCAATATCTTAATAAATACTTCTTGCTTACTCTTGAAAACTGACCTATGACACCTTCTATGGGAAAGCTGTCTTGATATGTATGCAGTTTGGTTGTCACTTGCAGTGTCATGCAGCAATAATGTGCATATTACACTTGCAGGACTGCACAGCTACAGGTCTAACAAAACAATAACATGACATTTGTTGTATATGTGCAGATAGTTGAACGTCATGGGTACAACTATTTGTTTCGTTCTTAGCAATACTGTGCGTACTTTTTCCATAACTGTCTGTTTTTCATCAACTAGGCATGTCCGCCATGCGAAATCTGGGGGCTGCCATTCCGGTATTGAAACCAACTGACTATTTCTGTAATCTGATGCCTCTAGTACCCCGATTACACAAAGCAATTACAGAGATATCTCGTAAAACATCTCCAGCTATTAGAATGTTTCGATCTAAATGTTTAATATTGTTTATTATAAAAGTAACATCGATGTTTACGTCATACCAGGGAATGCTCCGTCTTTGATTTTACAATGGACAGATAAATTAATACGCGCCCAGTTTTAGCAGTTCCGACTGAAGTTAACGTCTGTTATTTCTTTTGCAGGTAAGGCTATTAATTACCTTTTAACAAATAAGCATATCAATCCTACAAATGTAGGACAATGTCATATAATATTGAAAAATATTGCACGAAAATTAAGAACTATAATCACCCAGCGTAGTTTATTTCTGAGGTCTGTCATGCGATATTCGGCTAAGGTGAAAGTAGGAGCTGGTAAGTCGATTTGTTGTGTTTATTGTGATTTATGAGCCTTATCTCAGAAATACGATATAACTCCTAGTATCAGTAATACATTTTGAGTATGACAACGCATGCGATCTGATGCACATCAATTTTAAAAAGGTAAAACGTATACAAAGGATCTGAGAATTTCCACGTGTTTCTTGCAGACCACAATTTGGTAGCGGGCAATATTTAAGGTTCCTCTAATAAATGTTACTATGTTTCAAAATACTTAAAGTATTCGTCATTGTATCAAAATATAGTTCAGTCAAAAACAGGGTTTCAAATATTATGAGTAGAGTAAAGAACTAAATTTTGTTTTTATTAATGAGCGATTTTTGTGTAAGATCCTTCATTGAGCCTCAGACACACCAAGTTAAATGTCCAATGACGGCTAAGTGAAGTGGCTCTACGTAGTACATATATATGGTAAATCAGATGTGTTATTTGTAAATCAAAATTTTTCAAATTTTATTGCTTTTTTTGTTTACTTTTTGTAAAAGAGATGCAAGTATTTTTAATTTATATAAATAATATTCACCTAAGTTTGTACTATGTTTACAAACCATATCATTTTGGACTTGGTCCTTCGAATTTGCAGATTAGTGCAGTATATGTAGTTCTCATGGGGAAAAGTAAATTAAACGATAAAAATTTTCAAGGATGTCAACTTAATTTGCTCATTGCTTGATATGTAAATTGTTCATCAAATGAAGAGTGCAGCAAAATTGAAAAATAGCTTAATTTTTAAAGATGAAAATTGCATAAAGTATTAATAATTAATATTCCTTAGTTGAAATGGTTAAGATTGAAAACTTGAATTTCTGCAACTGCATTGGTTTCATCAAAAGGGAGTATAATAAGGGGGTCTTACCTGATCTTAAGTTACCATTGAGCATGCTGAATCAAATGCTACCAAGCATGTTTATTTTTAATTGAATGTTCATTTTATGAAAGTTTTTCATATGTTGGTTGCACTTGTAAGGAAGAGATAAGGTGCTGTGGGTGGGGTGGGGGGTAAATCTTGGTATTGATCCATAAATACCATAATATTCTTGTAGAAACCTCTAATATTTTTCTATAAAATTGAAAACAAAATGAATGTACATGTAGCCACCACTTTATCTCAAAGGTTATTATTATTATTTTTTTTTTTGAGGACCTCATGCATTTTAATGGAACAGGCAAACCTTGTTATTTCTAATTGATGGGACCAATAAAAAAATTCAAGATATCTGGTATAGTTTGACACATTGAGGTTAAAATGCTTAAAGAAAAAAATGGAAGAGACTTTCAATGAAATATGAAGATAACAAACAATAATCAAATTCAAATTCACCTTTATTGATGTTGGAGAGATTGAAGCAAAACTATTCTTATAATGTCTCATAGAAAAAAAGTTTTATAGGACACAGTTTCAGGAAATAAATACCATTCAGTTAAAACACTGACACCCTTCAACATGTTCAACAAAGGTTAATATTAATATCTAGATTTAAAAGAATTGTTTTTTGAACTTTTTTCCTAAAATTTATAATAACTATGTTTACCATGTTTACAGAATGCCTTGTTTCACAAAAAAGAACACTGTTCAGATATTTCCTCTGGACTGCCAATTTCTGCATTTCATGTGATACCTGTGTTGGAGCCCTTCCAAAAACCTCCCCTGTAAGGTAAGTTTTATATCCCAATGAAAATGAATCATTTTCGTTTTGTATGATTGGATTCAGATGTTATTCTATGTGTACAGAATGAAAGAATGTACAATTTTTATGATGAGAAATGTATATGCGGTTGGATAAAAAGAAAGATCTTGTTTAAGTGAATGTTGTGTATGTGTCCATCACATTGTCCCAAGCCATGGTTGGAGTCCGCCTACAGCTCTCTCCTACCCGAGGCTGCTTGAGCGAATAAAGTATCGTTATCATGAATAATCAAACCTTATGTGTGATGTCACGTTATAAACCAATAAAAGTAATTGTTTATATTGCAGTTGACTTTAACAATAAAAAAAATAAATGTTAGGTAAACAGTGACTGAAAAAAGAAGTCACATCAGAGGTTATTTTTAAATAATTGAAAACTTCAATCTCTTTTGGAAGGAACTGTTTCTGATCATCTTCTTGTAGCTTACTAACACACATGTCATATTATATCAGGTTTTTAAAATTCTGCCATCAAATCCTTACCTTGTCATTTAACCTTCAGATTTTGTACTGATACTTGTTTGCTTTATTTAATTATGATCTTATATGCTTGTCTCATCTACTTCCCAAGGCAAGATGACATGATCATCACTTGGGTTTAGGCCAAATAAAAAAATATGTGTGGTTCCGGTTACCTGACCATCCCTATTTTATACCCCCGACCCTAAACTTTTTTTTGGCAATTTTCATATTTTTTCCGTAAATTTTCCTGGATTTCCATCAATGGCTCTGGTTTTAAGTTTTAGCAATGATGGCCTCCTTGCACAACATAGTGCAAGTGTTTAATAGTGTTAAATCCAAAGCAAGCTAGCAAGTAGGTGTGACCGTGTCCCCTACCAATATTGACTAGTACAGTGTATATTATCACACCACATCTAAATGTCATTTGCAAAGCAGTAATAGGTATTATTTAAAAAAATTAAGAAAATCATTTTGTTAAAAAAAAAAAAACAAAAAAAAACCCTACCTACCTACCCTAATTTTTTTGGAGGTGTAACCGAAACCACACATATTTTTTTGTTTGGCCTTACCTTAATTGATCTTATTTATGGTTGACCTCTTTGTATACAGATTAAACTCATTTATCTCTATATGAATTAAACCACTCTGATCTACACTAATTGTAAATTAAAATAAGATATATTCAATGCAACAATCAGTGTTAACCAACATTTACAATGTGACCATCATTGCTGAGGGATGTGTAGCCTTTGACCCTGAAATTTACTTGTCTATCTTTGCATGCTTTTTACTTAGTCATGATGTAAAGATTGAACTTTCAATTCAAGTTCCCTCTTTGAGAGTGATCAACAGTATTGTTTTTTTAGTGGTATGTTATAAATTATTTATATTTAATATTTTACAGATTTCAAAGTTAAGGAGATCATTCAAATGATAGTGGTTTTGGTCCATGTTGGTTTGTCTCAACAGTTAATCTTTTGGAAAGCAGTGTTGGAGAAAATATCAGCAACATGTGAAGACTGTGATTTAGTTTCATATGATATGACTTCAGAAAGTTAATATTTTTGATTTCATGGTTGTATGAACAAATGCATTGAACTTTCCAAACATCATTGAAAAAGAACATATGATGACCAAACAAAAATAGATATTTGAACTTTCCACGAGTTTACAATGAAGAACATTTTGGGATCTTGATACAGGATATTATAATAGTGTTTTATCTAATTTATTGTTTAGTGCATTAAATGCAAAAAATGTTTTAAAGTCACTCTTGTAAAACCCATGCTAAGAACAACAGGTCTCAAATATCTTAGAGAGTTATATTAGAGTTATATTGTTAGAATTGAAGCTTATTTATAAAATTATACCTTACATCTTTAAAGAAAGTTTCACAAAAAATAGTCAAACTTGCATATACTGGTTAACATGTTAAAAGAAATATAATATCCTGGAAGTGATTAAGAATAAAAAGAAGTTCATTTATCATTCTTTTCTTTTGTTCTTCTTGGTGACTTTTTTACAATAATCAAAGACATTTTACATTTTAGCTCATCTGAGCAGAGGCTCTATTGAACTTTTCTGATCAAAGAGTCTCTGGTGTCTGTCCATCTGTCATCCATAAAAATTAAACCCTAAAATAGGGGTATCAAAGTTTGACATGGGAATAGATAGGAAAAAAATTTCCTTTAATGAACAACAAGGTAATGATTTACTCATAATGTATGCAAGTATCCTCAAGTAGAGAAGATTCAAGTTGGTCAAAATCATGGACCAGACTTAATATTATAATAATATTAATGCCCTGTTCACATGGAGAGTTTAATTCACAGTAAATTAATTCGAAGTAAACTAATGTGAATTAAAGTAATGCGAATTAGATTGCGTTCACACGAGAACTAATGCGAAGTTAACTAATGCAAATTAACTTGTATTTTTTTTCAATTTTTTTTTCTTCAAATAAATCTGAGATCTGATTTTATATATAAATTGGTAAATGCATGTATACATGTGAAAAAAAAAAACTTTAGAAAACATATAAGTCATGTTAGCCATATTGATAATGAAATATCCTCATGTTGTGGAATCAGTTTGGATTAGACATGGCCTTATGACCCCAGGGTGGGGCCACAATATTAGCTCAAATTTGTTTTTATGAGAATTAAGGGGGATAAGAATGTCTTAGAAATCTGAAGATCACCAAGGTGACTCAAGTGAATGTTGTGGGCCCGGCTTCTTATTTAAATTGCACACTTTCATTATCCCTGCAGATTTTTAACATCTTATTTGGCATATTTTTTGAGGAGAAAATTATTTTTCTAACATTAATTTCACTGTGTTTTGAACACATAATAGAGTAATACTTTAGATACATCTGGGCTTTCATATAAAGTGCTATTTTTAGATCAACAGTGAGTCTCTTTAATTCTATTTTTAACACATTGCCATGTGGTTGGGACTACTTTCATGGCTAACATTTTCTTGTTTAACTAACAAGTATGCATTTAAAGAAATGTACCTATTGTTGTGAGTTTACATTTAAAACAAAGGTTCTTCACAAATAGTTGTAGCCACTTAATTGGTTTAACTATTTCATATTTTTTTGGATTTTTTGGTGCACTACTAAAACCTGTGGCTGCGCAGTCCTGCAGGTATATTGTGCGCTTCATAGCTGCAAACTGCTGCAAGTGTCAATTAAGCTGCATATACCCAGAGATTGTTTTCATTATGAAGATGACATGGACCAGTTTTCAAGTGTTTGCAAGACTTAATTTTTGAGATATTAAGGTTTTTATTTTTAGTGAGTCTCACTTGGCTGCACACAAAACCAAACCCTTAAATTAGGGCTATTTTTTTCTGCATTTCCACAATATATTTGCTATATTTATCAAATATGATGATAGAATTCATGACAGTTTATTTAATACAAAATTTAGGAGCAGTATAAAACAGTCCACTGCACAAAATAACTATATGTGCAGACTGCATGTAAAAATAGGAATTCAAACTTAACATACTTTAAATACTTCGAAAGAGAAAAAATGATCATTTTCTTCCAAAAAACCTTCCGCCACAAAATATAGTTCCTCACTTAATGCTTTTGGTATGGAATTTAATCATGGAGTTTTAACTGAATATAGTTAAATTGGCATTGTAGAATCCAAATATATTGTAAGTATTAAAACATTATGCAGAATTTTTGAAATATAGGTTAAGATAAGAATCTGCTCAAAAGCTCAGGAGCGAACCTCGTTAACGAGGTTGGATCCTGATATTTAAAGTCTTAAACTTTTTTTGTCAAGTATATTTTTAGTTTCTACAAACATAACTTAATTAAAAAATCAAAACAAAAAATGGAGGTCAATATCCTTCTTTTGGCGCTACAGTTCATTTAATATGACCTTTTTGCACTGAAATTTGTGTCTTAATCAAAAATCACATCTTCGACGTTTTCCCTCCAATGTTTTTATCCAAATAAATCATGGGACAAATTAAACTATTAGTCTATTTAAAAAAAGACACTTTAAAATTGTGACTAAGAAAAAGTTTCAAATTGCTTCGCATAATCAATTATTTGACCTTTCTGCACTCAAAAAATGTGATTTTTCTGGTATTAAAAATTTAACGAGCAAGAAAATTATTTTAAAGTCTTAAACTTTTGCTGAATTTAGGCAGATTGATCAAAATTATCTTATATATTCAGAAAATAAAAACAAAAGTGGGGGTCTATGAAGTGAATTTTTTGATATTACTAAAAAAGTGTTAATTTTATGTTAAAATTGGCTAAATTTTGTCCTTGACTTTCAGAATATTTTTTACTATATTTGTCACTAAATATAATGAAAGAATTCATAAGAAATAATTTAACTGATATTTCAGAACCAGCATAAAACATTTCACTGCAAAAAACAGCTCTGTGTGCAACCAGCATGGAAAAATAGGAATCTAAACTTAACAGTACTGTACATATTTCAAAAGGGACAAAATTGATCATTTTTCCACCACAAAATATAGTTCCTGACTTAATCCTATTTGATTGGAATTTAATCATGGTTTTTTTTTTCCTTGGAAATAGTTTAATTTGCATTGTAGTATCCAGATTTTATGTTTGAACTTAAAAATGATGCAGAATTTTATAAATAAAGGTCCAGACCAAAATCTGCTCAAAAGCGCAGGATCGAACCTCCTTAATTACATGTAGCAAAACGGTGCCGTAAACTCTAGACTAAAGAACATGCATTAATGATAGTCTTTTGTTTCTTTAATCCTTATCCTTCATGCAATCCATTCAAAACTCTTTTAATGCATGGCATGTTTATTGCTAATTGTTGCTACATTATTATCGTATGTTCAGCAGACGTCTTGCGCAATTAATTTGAATTTTCTTATGCCGAGTCACGTTATTCAGTACGCGTACTAATTGTCCTGTAGCCTACAGTGTAACTCTTATATCATTGTTATGAAGCAAAAGTCACGTGATCTGATCTTAATTATGTCGAATACTTACAGTGTAACCCTTACATCCTGGTTCTTCTGCTCGGATGGCTACCATGGACCAAAGTGTACAGTGTACTGCCCTGGTGATCCACATAGGTGTGTTGTTGATGGAGTGCAGTACTGCAAGAACGGTACTGATCAAATTTAAATAATTTTCCGACAACAATCATAAGTACATAAATGATACTTTCTTAAGGAGGTTGGATCCTGTAATCAAAAGTATTGAGAATTTTTTTATCAAATATATTTTTGGAATCTATATACATAGCTTAATTAAAAATCAAAACCAAAAATGGGGGGTCAATGTGCTTCTTTTGGCGCAACGAAGCATTTAATGTGACCTTTTTGCACTGTAATTACGTCTAACACATAAATCAGTTTTTCAAAGTTTTTCCTCTAATATTTTTTTATCCATTGGCAAATAAATTGTGGGAACAAACACTGTCTTTTTCATCTTGAATAGTGTCTTTAAGATTTGTGACAATAAAAAAGTTTCAAATTACTTCGCTTAAAAAATTTAACAAGCAACAAAATCATTTGAAAGTAATGACATTTTTCTGAATTTAAGCAGAATGGTTAAAATTATCTTATATATTCAGAAAATAGAATTAAAAGTGGGGGTCTGTGATGTTAATTTTTAGATATAACTAAAATAATGTTAATTATTAGCCTAAAGTAGGCTATTTTCCCCAAGGACTTTCACAATATATTTGCTATATTTGTCCAATATGATAATAGAATTCATGAAGATTAATTAAATATATTATTTAGGACCAGCATAAAACATTTCACTGCACAAAATGAACTCTGTGTGCAGGCTGCATGTAAAAATAGGAATCCAAGCTTAACAATACTGTAAATATTTCGCAAGAGAAAAATTGGTCATTTTCTTCTTAAAAAAACCTTCCGCCACAAAAATAGTTCCACACTTAATGTTTTTGGTATGGAATTTAGTCATGGGGTTTAAATTGAATATAGTTTAATTAGCATTGTAGAGTCCAAATTTATTGTAAGAACTAAAACATAATGCAGATCTTTTTTAAATAGAGGTCAAGACAAAAATCTGCTCAAAAGCTCAGGAACGAACCTCGTTAAATTCTTTTTGAATTGAATTTAATATATGAAATAAAACATGACCTGTGTCGTCATCTATCACAACTTGTTAATGTTGAGAACAACTGCAAAAACAATCATTGGAAAATTTGACCGATGAATTTTCTTCGATACACATTACCTTACTATATTTTTTTGTGTTCTCTTTGTTTATTTCATGTAGATAAATCTTTACTGTGGTCATCTTATTTTAAATAAATATAAAATTGAAACTCATAAGACTTAGATATAAATCTGATATTCAAAATCTCTAATTCTTTTTCATCTGTGAAAGCCCTTTTGAAAAAAAATCTGACTTTGTATCACATGTATCTTCAAAAAATAACTTCAATAATAGTTCCTTCCTGAATTTGCAACATATCTCTGCTGCATGGAATCCATATTGTCCATGAAGGCATTGTTATCGACAGATTACTATCAAGAAGTAGGGGAAAACTAGAGCATGTCACTATTCGAAGTAACGAAGGACCAAGGACTGTTTGTAATTTTCTTTTTGAAGTGCACGATTCTTAGCAAAATAAATCCCACTAATTTCGTTGCAAGAAGCTAAAAAAGAAATGAATCATGTAGGCAGAGAAAATGTACGTCTCTTTAATCTGATATGATTTCCTTCAAAAGAATTTATCTTTCAGGATGGAGTGGTCCAAACTGTGAAGATAACGTGAATGAGTGCACACACGCATGCGCCAACACTTACGGAAAATGTCAGGACACGTTAGGTGGTTTCATGTGCCATTGTTCAGAATACGCTTATGGAAAACAGTGTATAATGGACAATGACGAATGTGCAAAGCATCCATGCAATACGGGTACATGTATAAACACTCTTGGACGCCATAACTGCTCGTGTCCTTCGGATGTTACGGGTGAAAATTGTGAAGATTTAATTGCCACGTCTTGTTCCTCTTCTACTTGTTCTCAACATGGCGCTTGTTCTGTAGAGAAGGGAAAAGCACATTGTTCCTGTTATTTTGGATTTGTGGGTCCTGATTGTTCTATCGAATGCAGATTAGACTGTTTGAATGGTGGAAGGTGTGTAAGACCTCCACATGGCACTCCAAAATGTGTTTGTCCTCCCGGATTTCTTGGATCAAACTGTCAGATCCAAGATTTATGCTACTCCCACATCTGCCATAATATGGGTGCCTGTGTGCAAAAAGGGTCCAATGTCAGTTGTTTATGTGACAAGGGTTCATTCGGAGACCAATGTGAATTTTACGATAAATGCTATGATTCGCCATGTAAGAATAACGGTGTCTGTAAAAAGCTGTTCAAAGGACAATATCAGTGCGTCTGTCCACATAGTTGGACTGGAAGAAACTGCGAAGTCTATAACTGTCAACATGCTTCTCCATGCCAAAACCATGGAAAATGTTTATCTATTCAAACAAAGCCAGGATATCGCTGTGTTTGTCACTCGTCTTGGTACGGAAGTATCTGTAAGCTACACGACGCATGCGTTTCCGACCCCTGTCAAAATGGTGGATCATGCCTCAACAATTTGAATGATTATACTTGCAGTTGTGCAAAAGGTTTCATGGGCCGCAATTGCGAGCATCGGGATTTGTGCTACTGGAATGGTAAACCGTGCATTAACGGAGGGAATTGTATTGTCAACTCCAACATTTGTAACTGTTCAAAATCTTGGGTAGGTGTTCAGTGTGAGAGAAACGTTAATGAATGTCTCTACAATCCATGTGGCGTGTACGGCACGTGTGTAGATATTGTAGGCGGATACAAGTGCTCCTGTAGCACGTACTGGACAGGGAAGAATTGCGATGTGCACATGAAATCGTGTGCTTTTAATCCTTGCAGAAATAATGGTACTTGTCAAGATCTGGACAATACGTATCTCTGTACTTGCAATGCTCAGTGGACTGGACGGAACTGTGAAATTGATGTGAATGAATGTACGGTGTCGTCGCCATGCCAAAACGGTGGACTATGTTTAAATACTAGGGGTGATTATACATGTCGCTGTTCGCAAGGATGGACGGGTAAGAATTGTGACACCGATATTGATGAATGTCAAGTGCAGAATTCCTGTCCATCGAATACTCTGTGTGAAAACACTCGAGGGTCTCACGAATGCCTGGACTGTTCAACTTACACGTGTTATCATGATTCACAGTGCATGGATACTGTGAATGGTCCGGTTTGCAACTGTTCGACCTCAGGATGGACCGGAAGGCAATGTGACAGAAAGGACTTCTGTCACGAAACATGCACAGATATAGAGATAAACAGTGGACGTTGTCCGAGTCGATGCGGACGGTCCTCTGAATGTTTAAACAAAGAAGACGGATATTCCTGTCATTATAATCCCTGTAAAAGTAGTCCTTGTCAAAACGGAGGGAGCTGTTTCAAAGGTCACAACGACTTCAACTGCAAATGTGATATTCATTGGGCCGGGAAAGCCTGTGATCAAGTAAACTATTGTGCGAGGAATCCCTGTCAACATGGAGGCTCTTGCATAAATCGGCTGAATGGATTTAAGTGCAGCTGTACTCCTGAGTGGATAGGAACCACTTGTACGGAAGTTAACTATTGCTACCCAAATCCATGCACACATAATGGCGCTTGTACATCACTTACAAACACTTCAACCTGTCTTTGTTCAACGGAATGGACTGGCTCTTTATGTGAAAAACGCAATTATTGCAGTACAAGCCCCTGCCAAAACGACGGAATATGTACAAATGGACCGACACATTTCACGTGCAACTGTACTGAAAATTGGATCGAAGCAAATTGCGAACAGTATGACTACTGTTCATCTAATCCTTGCAAAAACCATGCAACGTGTAAGAACAGACCTGGAAACTTTGAATGTCATTGTCATGAAGGCTTTTCTGGAGTAACCTGTGCATCGGCAATCGACCATTGTGTGTCCTCCCCCTGCCAAAACAATGCCACGTGTACAAATAACCCTTACGGGTACTTCTGTCGTTGTGCTAGTGGGTACATGGGTAAGGACTGTAATCTCGACCTAGATGAATGTAAGCTTAATATGTGTCCACCAATGTCCACGTGCTTCAATTATAATGGTGGATTTGACTGTCGATGGACTAGGAGGTCAATCAGAGAAGCTCATCGCGAAGGTAAGATAATAGTGCTGCAGCAATAACTCACATTATATGTCTTTATAGCATCTCTCTCTCTCTTGAGCTTTTATTCATCATACATTAAGGAACTCAATTGCAAAAGAGAAAGATATTTTCATAATATATCATTTTCATTCATGTCAGGCAAACAACATGTATATTGTACCATGTGAGTCATTTGATGTCTAGATAAATAGACCCAAGTAATCATGCATATATTATTCTTAAAGCAAACATAACAGTGCAACAATTTAACTCTGGACACGACATTAGTCCGAACTTTTGACTTGACCCTTTGTTTGGATTTTATACTCTAATTAATTTTACCAAGGGTGACAACTGTACCTTGTGTAGTTTAGAAGATATGAAACCTGAAAAACAAAAATACAACGTGATTTTGGTGGGATTTCTTATCCCTATTAAAATCCAACCATAATCCTATAGAGAAAAAAAATGCTATGTAAAAATCCAATATATAATATCTACTCACATTATATTGAATTTCTATTTTCATATGTGAACTGATATATGAAAAAAGTGGGAGGAAAGATCCCATTTATTTATGCCTCTAGAAATAAAAGTCTTTTATCTAATGCTGAATAAAATGTTTTATCCCATGAAAATAACTAGAGACCTCCAATGAACGCATGTGTCGCCTGCTTTGTACCTTCATTAAAGATGTAAATAATTCCAAGAGTGGTCAGCTATTAATTTACTACTAGCACGATTGTTCATGCATTTGCCTGCAAAGAAAAAAAACAAACATCCAATAGTATATGACTAGGATAGAATCTGACAATCAAAGAAAATATGGTTCCCCATCTCTCAAATGAATTATAATTAAATTGAAATTATTATTAGAATAAATTATTTATCATTTTCTTCATACACATGTACTTGTTTCCAACAATCCTCGAAAAGAGATTTCCGTCGTTCTTTACTGCAATTGTCAGTCTACACGACTCATGGTGGGATACCGATCCCGATGCATTTTCATAGTATTTAGAGCTTGTGTGGTAACTCAATATCATACATTTTCAAAGTACAGTATTATGAGCTCATAAACATGTATAAATGCTAATTATCAAAACCCTGCATCTCAAAATTCAAATGCATAAGTTGAATTAAACTAGTATGTCTGGGATATATTTTGCAAAGTAGGTCAAAGGTCAAGTGGATTGTAATGCTGGTATTTTTCATAATTTTTATGACAAGAAGTGCAGATGCTAAATAGCATAGACTTACTTCTTAATTGTCAAAAATATGCTGTTTATCGGCACTATGAGCTATTTTGAAAAGTATGTCAAGGACAAGGGTCACGAGGTCGATAACCATGGTAATTTACAAAAGCTATTGTGCCAAGCAATATAATTTTATGTACAAAATTTCAGATCCATACCTCTTGCAGTTCTCGAGATATAGTGAGTGACAGACAAACGGACACAGCTAGACAAACAGACAGACGCCGCGTAAAGAGATCCCTAAGTGTCGCCGAGCTCTGCAGGCGACACAAAAATAAGATGTATTGATTTAAAAGTGAAAATTGTCAAATAATAGCATCTTGTACATATATATTTGATTAAGGATTTAAATATGTATTTTCTTAGAGACTCTGAGTATTCCATACATGTAAATGCATGTTTTATTTCTGCAAGAAATTTTCACTGTAACTAGAGTGTTCTAAGGAACGCATGTGTCGCCTGCTTTGTTGCTTCATTATAGATGTAAATAAATCTAAGAGTGGTCAGCTATTAATTTACTGTTAGCATGATAGTTCATGCATTTGTCTTCAAAGAGAAAATGGCATCCATGGAAAGTATAAGACTGTGATAGAATCTGACAATCAAATGAAATATGGTTCCCAAACCCTCAAATGAAAAATTTACTTATTAGAAATAACTATTTATCATTTTATTAACACGTGTTTCCAACAATCCTCGAAAAGAGATTTTCGTTCGTCTTTACTGCAATTGTCAGTCTACAAGATCCATTGTGGAATACCAATCCCGATGTATTTTCATAGTATTTAGGTATAAGTTTGTGTGGTAACTGAATATCATACAGTTTCAAAGTACAGTATCATGAGCTCAACGTGTTTCCAACAATCCCCCAATGATATTTCAATCTGTCTTTACTACAATTGTTAGTCTACACGATCCATTGTGGAATACCAATCCCGATGTATTTTCATAATATTTAAATATAAGTTTGTGTGGTAACTGAATATCATGCAGTTTCAAAGTACAGTATCATGAGCTCATAAACATATATAACTGCTAATTATCAAACTCTAGCCTCTCAAGATATAAAAGTTATACGTTAAATTAAACTGCCCGGGATATTTTTTTGAAAGTTCAGGGTCAATTGAATTGTAATGCTGGTATTTTTCATAATTTCTCATGACAAACAGTGCACATGCTAAATAGCATAGACTTACATGTACTTTTTAAATGCCAAAAAATGTGCTGTATATCGGCACTATGACCTATTTTGAAAAGTAGGTCAAATGTCGAGGTCAAGGATCACGAGGTCAGTAACCATGGTAATTTACAAAAGCCACGTGCCATGCAATATATGTGCAAAATTTCAAATCCATACCTCTTACATTTCTCGAGATATAGTGTGTGACAGACGGACAGACTCCGAGTTAAGTGATTCCAAGTGGAATAATATATAAATATCATCATAATCCCAAAGGATTTTTAGTCCCCTACCGGTGAAACCGGAGGGGACTATAGGTTTCCTCTGAGTCTGTCCGTCCGTCTGTCTGTTTGTCTGTCCGTCTGTCTGTCTGTCCCTCTGTCTGTCTGTCAGTCTGTCCCACTTGGTTTTCCGCACTTTTTTCCTGAACGCTCGCAGATATTGAGCTGATTTTTGGTATGTGAGTGTATCTTGATGAGTTACAGATCAAGTTTGCATTTCGTTCCGCTTCATTGATTTTTGATGGAATTACGGCCTTTTCAATTTTTAGGGGTTTTCCGCAATTTTCTTCTAAACGCTTGTAGATATTGAGCTGATTTTTGGTATGTGCTTTACCTTGATTAGTTATAGATCAAGTTTGCATTTCGTCCTGCTTCATTAATTTTTGACGGAATTATGGCATTTTCAATTCTTAACGGGAACGGAACCAGATTACACCTTGCCGGTAGGGGACTAGTATTGCTAATGCAATACTCTCAGAATGCTTGTTGTTTATTATGTGTAATGTCTTCTACTATATATATGGTACAGGTGTCATATTTGACGTATTTCAAGATAGTACAAAATACCACTACGTAACATAAGTTTTTTAGCATCTCGAAATTCATGGATGGCGAAAGTCCGGACTGATTGAGTAAAATGCCGTACTCTTTTATGTATTTCTGTAGACAATAAATGATGCAAACAAGGTACAGTACCGACCAGACACAACCTAACACCAGAGCGAACCCAAAGCGCACCCCGGGTTCGCTTTCTGGGTTCGCTCGGGGTCCGCTACGGGTCCGCTTTCAGAATTTTTTGGTGCGCTCTTGGTTCGCTTCGGGTTCGCTCTGCGTTCGCTCGGGGTCAGCTCTGGGTCCGCTAGAGCGAACCCGGCGTTCGCTTTCTGGGTTCGCTTTACGCACTCAAGCGTGAAGCGGACCCCGCTTTAATCTTACCGCGAGTAAGCCCCGCCCCTTGTATATCCCAAATACAGATGTAAAATCGATCATTATTGTTTTGGTGGCGATCGATACATGAGCATCTACAGTGGCTTCAACATTATTGTTGACAAGATATACACGAACGATTCCGCACGATTAAACCTGTTACGCGAACGATCCTTCACGTACACGATTCTTCACGTTACACTATCATTCACGATTGTTAACGCAAAAAATATATAGAAGTGGATATTTTTAAAACGAAATAAGGCTTAATTAATAGATATTTTAGATTGAAAATAATTATTGGTGAAATTCATCGACTTTGGAAAACTGAACAAATATTTAGAAATGGATATTTTTGAAACTACATGTACATGTAACTAAGACTTAATACATGTAGTTATTTTAGATTACAAATAATTATTTATGTAATTCTCCGACTTTGGAAAATTGTTTTTTTTCAATTTTTATTTTTATTTTTTTTATTTATTTATTTTTTTTTTGATACTTAAAAATGTAATTTATGATTGAATGCTGCTCGTTCTATCGCATGATATAGGTGGGCCGTGAGTTTTGATTCGATTGGATTTTATTATATGCTGTAAGGGAGTATAAGATTTTTAAAAAAATGCCTAAAAATAATTTAAAACTATACACATCTTTCCATTTATGAATTTCAAAAATCAGCAATTTTTTTTTTCATTCATTTGCCGAAATTATTTTAAAAAAATAATAATGAGCATCAGGGACTAAAAGTAACCCCGACAATCATGTCGTGTACATTTGCCGACTAAATATTTATGTAAGTATTGGGACTTTTTTTTAATGTACATTTTTGATGTATTGATATAAAACAATCAAGACCATAATTAGCAGTTAATATAATAAACATCAGAGAAAAAATCGTCAAATATCTTAAATACGCTTTATCATAAAAAGTTACGCTATTTTAAGAGAATACAATACCGTACGACTTACTATATTGTTTATTTACTACCGATAATTAGTTCGTTCAGTTATGTAAATCGCGCTTCATTCTTTTTCCCCTTTTATTTAAGATAAAAAACAATTTGAAACAAACAAGCTAATTAAAGCTTTACATTATTTTTCTTGTAGAAGATAAATCAAATAATACCATAGTTGTTTACGATCGGACATACATACATTTATTTTTTTTTTTTTCATTTTCAATGAAGAAGATCAATAATTTTAATGTTGAGCTGGATTTAAACGAAATGTAAATTAGAATTATGAAAATAAAATAATTGAATGAAAGCACGTACATGTACATAATCTTGTACAGTAACTTGACATGATGAAATGCAATGATTTGTCAAAAACATTCTCTTTTTTTCCATTCTTAGTAACAATTATAATAACCATTATTTTCTTTTTTTTTCTTTTATACATGAAAGTACCTTTTGTCTCGTAAATTTACGAAATGTTAATGGATTAACATTTTAAAAATAAAAAATAAAGAAAATAAATGTGTAAAAATAACATGCTACCTGGATAATTAAAATATAAATAGATATTTTTTTAATCATGTTAATAATAGTTTCACACTTTACACTAACACGCTTTGCTTGTACAATGTTTTTATTTACATCGAATAACAAACTGGCACGCTGATTGGTCGACGCGCTGATTGGTTTCTTATGGCTAATTCTGATTGACAGCTCTGTTACGCAACACCGAACGCACGTTCGCTCTCTGGGTTCGCTACTGAATTTGGGGTTCGCTTTCGGCGTTCGCTCTGGGTCCGCTGCGGGTTCGCTCGGGGTGCGCTCCGGGTTCGCTCGGGGTCAGCTATAGCGAACCCAGAGAGCAAACCCGGGGTGCGCTCTGGGTTCGCTTTCTGTTAGGTTGTGTCTGGTCGGTACTGTACATGTGTATCAAATGCTAAATGACTTGTTGAACACAAAAGTTACAGGGTGGTGAATTAAAATTACTTTTGAAAGCAGGGTTTAATCTTTTGTAGTGAAATGTACAATAAAAAAAGAAGAAAATGTGAATGTACCTTTCATTATAATGTTTAATCTTTGTGTTCAGGGACCAAACACGTTTTAATTACGGAAATGAAAGATGCTATGATACCAATTTCCATTTTTCTTCAATTTCTTGAAAATGGCATATCTAATGCAGCTTGTGCTGACAGCAAAAAAGGACTTCTTGTGCCATACACCATGGAGTTCAATAGGTATTAATCGTTAAACGGTGTAAACAATTACAGAAAAAAAGATATTTTTAAGATATTTCTTTTAAAAAGTAAAAGAACCTTTTCAACAAGTATTTTTCCATTCTGTAATATTTTATATATTATATTTTTCGTGTAATTGTTTTTTTTTTTTTTTCCATTTTAGTGGGATTCAGAAGCTTACCTTTAGCATCAAATGTGCAAAAGGAAAATACCAAAGCTTTGTTGCATCCAACATCAGCTCTTATTGCGACTCCGAACTATGCAGATCTGTTATAAAGAACTCGGTTCTCTCAACATTATAAGATCTAGAGTTATTCCGCTTGTAACTTTCCACTTAATAAAGCTCTACTGTTCTCTCATCATTTTTCTTAGTAAGATTTGTTATTCTATTATATATAAACTTTCATTAGATTCTTTTTCTCAAATTTCTCAAGAGAATACAATTTCGAAATGGGAATATGTTTCCAGACATAGCTAGTGAAAAATAACATAATTCAGTGAGTTTTTGATTGTTCACAGAAACTGTTGTGTCTTAATATTGTGGTAGATTAACGTAAGCCTTGTCTACGGGAAAAAGTTAAACTATCACATCAACAATATTCCTCAGTGAAACCTAATTACATCTTACTTGTTCAAGGCAATATTTTTTTTCTTTTACAAAATCCGATTAAAAATGCCCAAACACTTTATGTAATTATTTTGTCATCTTTATGAAAGGAATTCTATCGGAAACTATCTTCTAAAATTACTTGAAACCTTAGTCATTAATTATTTCATTCGAATAGGTTTTTATTCGTTGTACACTCTTGTCTCATCGACCTATTTCCTGCTTTCATCCATGGTACACAAAAATCCCACATTAATGTCTCCCGTTGATGAATCCATGGGGTGCCGTCTGAATTCCTGAATAATCGTTATACTGGAGAGTTGGTCGTACACCAATTAATGTTGCAATACTCTACCTGGGAGTAGAAAAACGTGTTCTCACGTGTTGGTCGGAATTCCGATTATGTTTCGAACGCACGCAAACTTTCCATTACCTTCGCAATCAAGTCCACCCTGATATTTAGCTATTGTGTATAATTGGATGAAAATTGGTCACTTGGGAGAAAATGGTCCAAAGGGTAATCCACATAAATCTCGTGCGGGATCTGGCACGAGAGGATAATACGAGAATTACCTTTAATATACAGCTATTAGTTCTGGACTACTCTTGTTATTTGAAATATTTATCATAAAGCAACCATTTGGCGAGTTACAATTCAAATGTTCTTTTATTGAATTAAAGTTTAATTTATTCTCGAATCAAAAAGATGGACTTATTATTTTTGCGATGGTTTAGAAATTACTTCTGAAAAAACACTCTTTCATAAACAACTATCTTTGACAGGGAGATATTGTCAGAGACCAATAATGTCTCTCTTGTAAATGTGCAAAAGGCGATCTAACCGACCAAGCTAAACCTTTTTGCTTTTGAGTCTGCACGAAATTTTTTTTTATAATACTTGGAAGAATTATGCAGGTGTGGGTTGTTTTGATGTTGTCAATTTTACCCCTTAAGGGCAGGTCTGTGGTCAGCTTTAGGCGAAACTTAATTTGCAATTTGCAATCTTTCCAAACGTACCAAACCTTTTCTAGGTCAGCGCTGCCTTGATGGAAATCTACATCGAAAAAGATATTTTGGCCAAATCATCAAAATAAATCTTCAGAAAAAATTACGAACTTTGAATTTACAGTAAAAGGTTGTCTTCATTTTTTTTTGTCGGCTCAATATTTATTATTTCTTTTAAGAGAATGCACAATGTACACTGATTGGTGTTGTCTATTTTTTTATGTAATTTTTCATTTATTTAATTTTTGAATAACATTTCTTCCACAAAGTCTTAAATACTACATGTAGTATTTGTGTAAATTCTTATATACAAAAAAAGTCTTTAATTCGTTATAAAAAAGATAAATAAAAACATTTAGACCTGAAAACCAAAAAATAAATATAAAAAAATATAGTAAATTAATTATTCTTCATTGTTATGAATAAAATAAGGAAGAAATTTCGAATTTCATATCCATTAGTCATAATTTCTTGATTGTAAATGACCCTAAGCATCTATGTATAGGGGAAAATTATGAAACATCCGATTTCAAGTACGCACAGGAGTCCGCAGACAATGGACATAAAATTGGTGCAATTATCGGTCTATAAGTCTCTTTTCTCTACGTTATGACGTTCAAAGATTATCAGAATGCCCAGAGTACATGTAATACCAGCATATAAATCCGATAGACAATATCTTATATGGAGAAGTTCGGAAACACTTCGACTCCTGAAGGAAATTTTCGTGATGTCTATGGATTCATTGTGTCCCTGCGGCGTACTTCACTTCCCACCATTTATGGTCTGGGATGCTGTTCTATGTATAGTAACAGCTTAATTGACAGGTTAATTCTTCTTGCTGGTGGATAAAGCACAGCCACAAATCGACTTTTTGGGGGAGAGGTTGATACGTCGTTTTCTGTTATATATGAAGATGACAAAAACTTCTCACAATCTGAAGCTATCTTTGCGGGAAATATTTAATTTTGAATAGGCCTTCCTTACAAAGTGTTCCCTTAAATCTAATTGTATATCAAATAGATATGCCTTTTCTCTATATACGTACAGGTAGAATTTTTCATCATCAAAAGCGAGAAAATTTTTTGGCAAAATATACATGTATCAACATATATACACTTTCCAGAATCTAAAGGTAATGAATAAGGTCATAGATTACTGACTTATTGATTCTAATTAGTGACGGAACACATGCCTGAATAATCAAAGCTTCAGAGCAATTTTAATGATTGTATATAGAGCTATGTAAGTAGATATCTATGGCTATAAAGATTCTCATCAAGGTTAGGATAATCGGAGGTATATGTACTTTAAATATATCAATATAGACAGATAAATAAACTATACAAATAAACTGTTACTAAAGAAAATGAAAATACACATTTTACAATCTCTCTGAATGATTTCTTCACAATGTTCAACTTAATGAAGATTTTTAAATTATGTACTTGAAAATGGATGACAATAAATCCAAAGAACACTAGTTCAATGAAATTTCTTATATACAGTAACATGTAAAATACATGTAATGTACGAGATATGTAAAATTAAAGGCGCATTAAAGTGTGGAACCTAATTCAGAACGGATGATTCCAACAAGAACAATCTCATTCAAGAAAAGCAGTTTTTAATTTTCCTTGTCGTAATAGAATAACACTGGCTTACTTTGGAAACTCTGCAGCAAGGTCAAGTATCGAAACTTACGTAGTCAACGAGAACACAAATATTCTAATTTGATGAAGAAACTACGCAAGATTGTGGTGGGATATGTGTATGTCTTTGATCTTTGGTCTTTGGTCGAGTGCTAATGCTAATATATATATATATATATATATATATATATATATATATATATATATATATATATATATATATATATATATATATATATATATAATACAATATATATATATATATATATATATATATATATATATATATATATATATATATATATATATATATATATATATAACATTTTCACAAAATTGAAGTGTATATAACGTCACTGAAGTACATTAAGCACCTAGAAATTAAAATAAAAGATCAAAGACACACACATATCCCACCAAAATCTTGCGTAGTTTCTTCATCAAATTAGAAAATTTGTGTTCTTGTCGACAACTAAACTTTCAAAACAAACTCACCATATTAATATAAATATGTCATTGACATATACACAGTTGTATCAGAAATTTGGAAGTACATTTCATCTGTACTAGTATTTTTTTAATGTTTAATTTATTATTTTTTTCCCGTTATGAAATATGAAGATAACGAACAGTATTCAATCTCGAAAGTCCAATGAAACGATACAAATTTGGAGCAGAGCAAACACGGACCTCAAAATTTAGAGGTGAGATCAGGTGCCATGGGGGAGTGTGCATCCCCTGCCGACCGGTCACACCCGCCGTGTGCTCCTTGTCATGATCGAAAAAAACCCAGAAAAAATCCATAGACAGTTCAGGGTATATAATGTCCTAACAGTAAGTATGAAAATCGTCAGTCAGCATTTGACTCAATGATAGGTTGTATGTGCTGACAATGTCATTGTATCGAAATGATGACTTCAAACGAGACTGTTGATATCCTTGTTTCATCAACTTATTTGCCAATAGCTTGCTTCGTTTTAGAAAGTAGCACATGCTTTTGCGTATCGAATCAACTGAGAGACATAAACCCCATATACAGGTGATAAGGGCATATTGCTATATAAGTAAGGGAAGCTGAAAAGTTGAAGTCATCACGTTTATCATAAAGCTTTGTTGTTAGGTTACCATTAATGTTTTTTTTCTCTAAAAATATCACAGATGTCTCAGACTGTGTGGTATCTTTTATTTCAAGCTCACTGGGATATATCGCGTCGACATATGAATGGAAGTAACTATTGTTCATTGATACGTCGTCGATATATCAAAATGTTGAGTTGAAGGCCACAGCAAGTGTTTTGAAGTGTTTTCTTCTTCTCATGTAGAAGTTTTTGAATAAAATCTGCCGCCTCATATGAATACAAAAATAGGTCTGTTAATAGCGGGCGGGTTGGGGGGTTGGGGTTGGTACCCATGGGAATTCCAACAGGTTGTTGGATGACCTGATCTCCAAAAACTACACAGATATTGTCAATCAGAAACATCTTCTTAATATCAACTTCAGAGTACTTGTGGGTACAATCAAAATGCTTTTTAGCAAAATAAAGTTCCAATTGATCAATGACAAGGTAAGTATATTTACGAGTTCCATTTTTTACTGAAAAAGCCGCTGTCTATGATGTCAAAAAGCCTGAACTTCAATTTATCGTGGAGAATGGCTGTATTGAAAAGTCGTACGTTTTGATGTTATTGATTTTAGTAAATTTTTGTTATTTCAAATTTTCTAAAAGTTCCAGGGAGTTTTTAAGTATCCATATCTGATTTACACCACTTCTCGAATATACTGTTGTACAGTACTCCTGAAGTTTCCCCTTCATTGCAGTAAATATTTTAGTGAGGAGTAAAAAAGAAGCTTGGTAGAACATTTACTGAAACCAGCTTTGTATCTTTGTAAGGATTTTTATGAAGTTTAGGAATCCAGTAAAGGTATGGTAACTCAAATTCATTTTGATTGTTGGGTATATTAAAAACATCTAAAACGGACATATGATTTTGAAGAATATCCTCTTTATAGAAAGGGAGCTATGGATATAAGTTGGATAATTTCAACATGCAGAATTTAATCCTAGTTCCTCTAAA